CTCCAGCCTTTTGAGGCATATCAGTGGCCTATCACACAGTGTTCAGCCCATACTTTAGAACAAACGATTTTTGGCTAGCGAGCGCGAGCAGTTCAAGTTTTCAGAATTACTTTCAACTATTCATGTGCAACATAATCATATTATTAAAAATCGAGTAGAACATGCCCGTAATAGAATCATTTAGCCCTAGGTAGGCACACCTCGCTCGCCAATCATAAAGACACACCTGGTGTTCCTCCATGAGCAAAGCTCCGGGGAATTTCTGCTCTATGAAGTACTTGAGAGCAGTAGTGTCCATCTCTCCTCCACCACCTACTGCAGCTACTGCTGCTGCCCCACCTATAGGACCCTGGGAGAAGTTCCCACTACTGTTGGTGTCTCTGTTGACCAGTGGGTCTGCTGTCTCCAGCGGAGGGAGAGGGGAGTCAGAGGAGGGCTTGGGAGTTGCCAGTAGAAGGTTCACCTTGGCCTGCAGCGTGTACCCCGATCCAAACCTACAGGAGATTAAGACTAAAAGTGCTGGTCTGGTTCATAACCTGTTATTCTTATGCATTGAGTAACCAATAGCAATACTTCATTAACCCTCGGCGTGCATGCGCAGCGAGGGTAACAGTACTTGGTCTGTCTGTCTGTCCGCGCGAGTTCTCGCACTACATGCTACGAGGCGGCCAATGAGTGGCACCAACAGGTTGTGAACAACGAGAAGATGGATATTAACGTGGCGATTTTCCTGAAACGACTGCGTTCCAGAGATATGGCGTGAAAACAAGCGAAAAAGCCAACGTGCGGTCGATCGCGCAGTCCTCCGGCAGGTTATATAGCGCGCACGCGTCATGTCAATTATTCGCCGGAGCATGTGCTATGCCACGTTGGTTGTACGATCCACGGCCTTCTGTCAGTTTTGATCTTTATGGATAAACATGCTGAGCAAGGTATGTTTGCAATGTAGCGTAATAGTTCAGGTGACGAGCAGTTTGTAGTTGCGGCCTTGCGAGAGCATTGAAACACAGAAGAGCGGATAGATTGAATAAAGCAAATATGAGAGCCCCTGAAACACCTGAGCAATTGCTCTAACCGCTAATGCAACTACCGGTGAGACTCGTGTTACTGGCTCAGTCGATGACGCACGGCCCAGCATACAGCAATGCTACAACTTGCGTGTTTAGCGCCGAGGGTTTGCACTTTAGTACTTTTCATTACTTAAAACTTAAAAGTAACAAGGAAGAGCATTGTTGGGTGATGTACGTAGAAGCAACACAAAGGGAAATAGGATTGAAACTAGAATGTAAGTGCTACACACGTACTTGCTCTTGAGGTGTTGTATGCTGCCCAGACACTTGAACTCTCCGTTCACCATGATAGTCAGTCTGGTACACAGTGCCTCACACTCCTCCATACTGAGAGATGAGAGTGTGGTGGTAGTCAAACACCTCTGGACAGAGACATGTGAGGACTCACCTGTGAGTGGTGAGTATGATGCTCCTTCCCTCTCTAGTGACTCCAGTCAGAACATCCCACAGGTAGCGCCGTGTCCCTGGATCCATACCTGTAGTTGGCTCATCCTAAAGGAGTCACAGAGAGAGGGTTTCAACCAGACACTGGGTTAGTCTCCACATAATATACCAGGAAGAGGATGGGAGGGTCTCCAATGAGGGCAATAGCAGTGCTCAGTTTCCTCTTGTTACCACCACTGCAATCAAGACACACACATTCATTACCAACACTTTACCACACCTAATGTGAGAGAGAGTTGACTCACCTGTACTTTCCACACTGTCTGTTCCCATACTTTGCGAGGTCCAGCTTGTTGATGGTGGAGGTGACCACATCTCTGATGCGAGACTCTGGAATACCTCTCAGTCTGGCAAACATGGTTAGCAGCTCTCTCCCTGTCATCCTCTCTATCAGAGCATCAAACTGAGGACAGTAGCCAATCTGCTGCTGGACCTGAGACCAACATTCATTCACTTTAACATTTACCCACTGTTATCCCCAACTGCAGATTCATGCAATACCAACTTTCCAAGGCGAATATTTTTTTGCAGCACGTGGCATGCACAACCTTTTTTTTCAAATCAGTTGCAGTGTAACATGTACAATGGTATGGTGTGTGTGACAGCACCAGTGGCGGATGGAGTGAATAATGCCCCATTCAGTTGACTACGTGGGCTCTTTTTTTGCTGGCCAATATTATTAGCTACCAACGAAAATCAGTGTGTCCTTCCTAATACAAACACTATTTCCTTTTCACTAACACTTTTCATGTCAGTCCTGATGTCACAGCCCGAGACAAACGCAGTTCCACTAGACGGAGTGATGTCTCCCGTTAACATACCAAATGTGGAGGTTTTCCCCGCACCTGTATAATGCATCATCACATACAACCATCAGAGCTATGTATATAGTAGCCAGCTCACCATTGACACCGACAAAACCAAAGAATTCTCCACGTGGTATGGCCAGACAGACGCTGTTGACTGCTCTCTTGGATGGAACAACTGAACAGCCACTCAGTTGAGGCCAGTACACCTGTACACAGAGTCATCACTTGATTTGATAGACACACTCATAATAACACAGTTGGTTTATGATAGAGGAAGGAAGCACAAGTATTCCTTCACAGGAAACATATACACAAAGGTGAAGGTTTAAGTCAGCCCAGAGCAGGCTGTGCATGAAAAGCCATTATCTTCCAGTGTGTACAATCTCAACACTTGAGATGGCGCATAAACGATAGAACCATTTACTAATAATACTTTCACTCAGTTGAGGTGAGTACACCATGTGACAGACAGAATGAAGCAAGATGTTACGCATGACACCCCATCCTTTTTCCGAGCAGAATCATGTGATTGTGAAGCCAAGGGCTGGCTGGGCAAGAATAAGGACATAGCTGGATACTCAATCACGTAGGTCGGTTCAAGCTTCTCTCTTACTCAAAGTTGACGCCAGTTAAGGACCTGGTGACAGACTCACTTGATTTGATAGATACGCTCATAAAAGCACAGTGAGTTATGATAAATAAAGGAAGCAAGATGTTTTGTAACCAATCATTTCACTTTTCCACATAAATTAGTGGCTATTGTAAGGGCCAGCTGGGTATGAAGCTTCTTGTTTAATAGCTACTATACCAATGGCTGTCCCCCTCTATCAATACCCCCCTACCCCCTTGCATGGGTGGATCAGTTGGCTCTCATCCCATTATGCTTATTGCAACTCCACAGAAGTTACATAGCCATTAATTCATTGTGGCATAACATCTAGTGTACAAAGTGTCACTTTGTAGACAACACTAAGTACCAGCTGGTATGATTGGAGGATACAATCACATGGACAGTGTTTCACTGCTACCAACTACTACGAATACTCAGTAAGTAGCTTAGTGAAGTCAACAAAAAAGCTATAATCCAGAGACTTCTTTTGGTGGTGATACGTCTGCGTTGCGTACAATCAGGGTGGCCCAAAGCCAATCAATATAGTTGCACTGTAAAACAATATCCTACAACGTAAGGTGACTACATGTCTTGAGAGAGATGTCATAGGTGTATACTGAGAGAGGGTCTATAGGCCCCATGTGACTTGCAACTTCGGAAAAGCCACTGTGAATGCTCACAATACCCCATGACTGAGCCATGACTGACAGCTCAACCCACGTATCAAGATATTCGTCCCTCGACCTGGCCTTGAGAAACCCCAGTGTTGGTTTGTTTGCCACGTGTACAGGGTCAATATCCAGCATTGTCACCCTGGACTTGTACACGGAAGCTGCCCAGTTTTTTGGCTCTCTGTCGTCTGACACCACCAGTACTGTGCTGTTTGTACCAAACTTCGAGTCAGAGATATTCAGTGCACAGTTCAGTATGTTTCGCCACGAGTCTTGGCTCCGTGCAAATCTGGTTGACTTCCAAAACTGTGTGTTCAAAAGTGATATCTCTCCCAGTAGACTATTCTTGAATCCGGTGCGAATGTGAACTGCCACAAATCCACGTGGCTTAAGCTTTAGCTGGCTCAGTTTAGAATCAGTCATCTGTGTGACTTGCTGTGGTAGGCGAAACAGAAACTCATACAGTTTGGAAGAGAAAGTATGTAAGCTTGCACTGCCAGTTCCTGATTCTAGCACTGCCTGTAGGAGGCCGAGATGGGATGGGCTCAGACTTGCAGATACTGCAGACTGCAGAATACTCTTTACAGTGCAAGGTATGCAACCTTTGTCCGATATATACATGTCATCCACAGCTTCAAGTCTGTTTAGTTCAAGACTCAAGTTTCCCCTCACCCCAAACACTTTATTGAATACGTTAAAAGGCTGCAGCGTCTGTTCACGGTTGAGTTCTATACACTTGTGGACCGGTCTCCAATCTATTGAGTTTGGCTCCAAAAACATAGTACTCTGAACTTGGTCGCTCATGTGGATAAAGAAGGTTCGGTTGGTGACAAGAGCCAACAGGAAGGCTCTATACATCCCCTTTACTCTGTCACCTATTCCACCACCGTCTGAGGCGCAATACCATGTCAGGGTCCTAGAGGTTCTCCCTCCTGCCAGCTCTCTTCTCCTGACTGCATGATAGTGCTGGTAAGACCGGAGAATGTCATGCAGTAACTGAGAGTAGTGCAGGTTCCTGCTATCAACAGTCACAGACAATGTCCTCTGGAGGTCCTCCTCGTTTCTTTTGTAACTGACTTTTTGTTGCGAGCAAAGTACTGCACTCTGGGTGTATGTGTTTCTTAGGCAGTATAGCACCGTGACACATGAAGATATAAGAAGAAGAGCTCTGAATAGATGCAACTTACTCCTTTTTACTTTCATCTGTAAAGTACTAGAATCTACTGGCACACTATTGGTCAAAACGCTCCAAAAACAGTTAGTGCCACTCTCTTGTTCTCGCTACTTGCCCCAGAATCAGCAACGTTAACTCCACTCATAAACACAATCACTTCCTGCCATTAAAAACCCATGTAAGATCATCTATGTATTACAGTCTAGGTATGTACTTTCTTTGAACCCTGTACCTGTCAGACAAGCAAGCTACCCACAACTGTATGTACTGAACCAAAGTACGGCCTCTATAGATTCAAAGCTGTTTTGACAAGAAGCCATCCCATGGAGGTTCCATAATTCATTGAACGTTGCTATGATAAGGTCCTGGGCCAAGGTTGAGGATCTGCCCCACATTACTCCTACATCTGTTTGACAATAATTGTGCATCCGACAATTGTATAGCGTCTGCGGGATTAAACACAATGGTCTGCTAGGAAACTCTGGTACACATAGTCGATGAAGTCCAGGCCAAGTTTAAACATCTATTGCTGTGCATTGCTCCCACTTCTTCACCACAGCTACGTAGCTACATGGAATGCATCAGCTCTTGCATAATTAGTTTTGTTCTGAACAAAAATTGTAGAGTTGTGTTTGCCAGAGAGTCACAACACATTCCTTTCCCCCCGCAAGCTGTATTTATTCTTTCCATCTTCACAACTATGGAGATATTTGTGAGGCTGCATTTGTAGTAGTTGGCCACAGGCATGACATTGACTCCTTCCAAAGGTATCGATTGATTTTGTGTATAATGTTACATACGTACTTTTTGTTCTCAGCAGGATTTCACTTGCGAACGAACCCAAAAATGTAAATGTAAACAGTGTTGAAAATATACACACACAAGTACAGTTTAAAAGTGCAACTGCAAATGCGGGTTTGTGTGCTCACTTTTGTGTGTTTACAAATTTTCTCAAAAGCCGCAACAAAATGAAAAGCACTGAAGTGCAAACACTCGGCACACTGCGCATGCACGGTACCGCTAATTGATGGGTTGGGCTATCACCTATGCGTTTATACTCGAGGTCTCCACGCAAACCCACCCTTTGTGTGCTCTGCCATATAGCACAGTGGTTTGAGGTTTGCCTTGTCTTGTATTGCGTTGTAGATTCGAACCCCTACCAGCTGAGTTGCCCTGGTAGTTGAGTTGGTAGAGCACTCAGTCTAGACTGCAGAGTGTGTGGGTTCGAATCCCACCCAGGGCAGCTCTTGTTTTTCTCCTCTGAATGAGCTGTCCTGGGTATAGTTGACATGTTTGTTGTGCCTTTGCCTTTCTACCTCGTAGGCTATGTGTGTAGCTACGTACGTATCAATAGTGTGCTTGCCTTGCTCAAGTTCTTGATGACCACTACATTGTCCGAGTGTCTGTCATCCCCCGAGAGCACCTCCCTCCTCTCATTAGCAACATCATCATCCTCCAACAACTACATGTGTACATACATACATACAATCACATGCCTATACATACATACACTGCCCTCCGTACATTATTCTTCATGCACTGCTAGTACTTCACAAACATAATATGTTTTTATTATTGTCCAGAAACACAAACGACTGTATGTAATATAATATGTTAGTATACACTCTCACCTTTCCTGCATTGCAACATGCACCGCCTGCCTAATCATGTGTGTGTGCACCAGTCATGCAGGAATTAATGAAAAGCACTAAAGTTCAAATCCTTGGCGAACTGCGCATGTGCGGTACATCTATAATTGATGGGCTGGGCTATTAGTATGTGTTTACTCGTGGTCTCCCGCTAGTAGCTCGCGGAGAGTCTGACACGGGTTAGCTACAGTTGTAGATAGCATGCGGGAGTTGATACACGCCTTTTGTTGTGACTTCTTGTGCCTTCAAAATGCACAGAGCAAGTGGAGGTAAGCCTGTGCTAATTTGCATATTGGCTTGTTCACTTGCTTTTCACGCCGTAATTAATTTTTTAATGCAGTAGTTATACGAAAATCACCTATTTTAAAATGAAGCCAGTGTAGCGATTAACCCGTTGGTATCGCTATTTTTATGTCACGTTGCGTGTAGTCGCAGAAAATGGTGGTAACAGACAAACAGACAAACACACACTCACAAACCAAGTACCGTAACCCTCGCTGCGCATGCGTGCCGAGGCATGGCGCCGTGAAATTATGCTTCGAAATTCAATAAATTTGTTGATGCTGTTTAATTTCAATGCTCACCCTCTTGGTTGAGCCACTCACCACTGTCTATTCCCATGGGAGGGATCTATCTAATAGACAAGTAACTGTAATCCTACCGTCCAAGAAAGAGGAAAAGAAACAGTAGAGGCCAAGGGGCTAAGCATGGTTATATGCACAGTATTGGACTGTGTGTGGTCAGCTGATTACTACCCAATAGATACTGAGGTACGTCCTCTGACGACCCTCTACACCACTAGAGAACTTAAAGAAAATGCAATTTTATGCACATACGTACGTAGAACACACTATGCACACTAGCCCTTTCTTATACTGTGGGAGGAGATATCCCGGTAACAGACACAGAGACATACAGACAAACAACCAACCACCGTATGTCTGCTTTGTGCATGCACACAAATGAGTGTGCCGTGTGCTTGTGATACGTAGGCTAACATAATTCACAGTACGTAAGGGGACCCGGCATATTATTAAACGGAGGTAAGAGATACATGTATGTGGTGAACATACCATCAACTTCTCTACTTAATACATGTAGCAGTATAAACACACAACCACATTTCTTAGCTTACACGATCTTATGTTCTATAGACTAGAGAAGATTACACAAGTAGCAAACCTGAGCATCTTCCTGGAGTAAGCTGTATCCACCTTTATTATTATTTGTCTCCATGTAATAGATCAACAGCTGCTTCACCAGTGGGACGAAAAACGAGTACTGCAAGAGAAAGAGATAGATACCTGCCAGAATTTCATGTGTGCAGCTTCTGTACATGTGAGATATACGTACTGCTATAGAGAAGTGTGGGTTAAGATAGCTGATGTACATGCAGTATGTAAGGACAAACTGCTGGGGCTAGCTTGCTCGAAGTCTTACGCATGACGTAAAGAAACAGCTCGCTCTTACTTACATACTACGTAAAAGTAAGAGGGAGGAGGGAGGAATAGGGAGAAGGGTTTCCATGGTTCTTCTTCTTCTTTTGAAATGTTACACTACCGGAAAAGAGGTTTGTTTTGGGACTTTTACAACATCGTAGCTACAAACCTCAATGGCAACAACGAGGAAGAGAAGTAGGACTCCCTCAATGGCAGAGTACATGAGAGTGGAGCCAATGCCTGGTCTGTCAAACTGGAACAGATCCTCCACATACAGTCCCTCACATATACTGGGGCTAAATGGTATGTGTGTAATCTTCATACATACAAATCCATAATAATAAAGGAATGAACTTGCAGCATATGTATATCTACATAACATACACTACACTAACCTTGGGTTCCCAGGCTTATCGCATAGAGATTTGAACGTCTGTGAAATGTAGATGTTGGCAAATCCTATCTGCAACCTGTGGATGACGCATACAGTGCGAAATGACACTTTTATTTTTACACAAACTTAGTGATTCAGACTTGAGTTAGCACCTAGGAAGAAGGCTGCTATGTCCGAATTTGCTTGCTAAAATAAGCTACTGCTTAAAAATCACGTGTTATTACTGCATACCCATAGCCAGGATGCAGAAGAAACAGATAGTGGAGAACATCTTGTGTGTGAGAGTCACTCACTAGCAACACAGCCAACTGAAATGCCTAAATAAAGTATATGCACATAATTTACACACGTAATGACAAACTCATTAAGTGCAAATCCTCGACGCAATAGTAACGCAATAGTTTGAACAAAGTTAGTAATGGATAAACCCGAAAGAGTTATGTTTAACTTTAAGCCGTACTAATGTAAAAACCATACTGGCTATGGATTTGGCAAAAAATCATAAATTCAAGGTTGAAAAAAATGCCACCCCAGACAGACGTCTATGGACACAGTGCAATGCAAAACTATACGATGTCCTGAGATGTAGCTAGTGGGTCAGTGGTAGATTTGTGGGTAAGGGGAGGAACCAGAGCTGTTCCCAGCCAATGCTCTGGACCACCTGACAGTTTCAGTGCTGGTCCGGGATTCGAACCAGGCACCTTATGTGACAGTCCCCACGTCTCTAACCACTTAGCCACTTGGGCTGGCCACGAAAAAAGGTTCCTCTTATACCCACACTCACATTACATCATTATAAAAAGAGCCCCACACCAGGGATCGGAACCACTGACCTCACGATCAAGTGTGTGAGTCCTTATCCATCAGACCACACCCAATACTTGAGTGGTAAGGTCGCATATTATCGTATAATATGTAGCAACCATGAATTAGCAGGAGAGAACTACGCCTTATAATTATCATAGTGGTTGTGTTACATGTACAATAATAGCATGATCATAGGTGAGGGTAAAAGTAAAGAAAACACACAGTGCGTGTATCAAACCAGAGGAGGGAAGAAGAAGAGTAGGAAGAAGACTCCGTAGGCGACCAGATGACTCTTGAACAGGAACGAGACGCAGTAGGCAAGAGGTATCCCAGCCCAGCACGTGTACACCTGCCATACGTAGTACATACATGGAGAAATCAACCATGATTATAACAGCCTTGGTACTAAGTCCTCATAAGCCGAGGGCTTCCCATGCAGACAAACCAAAAGTATTATCTTGCAACCTTTCGATGCCTGAGGGATCTGTCTTGCCTGAAGAAGATCCCTCAGGGATCGAAACGATGCAAGATGATACTTCCAGTTTGTCTGCACGTGAAGCCCTTTACCCTTTTAGGTAGCATCAGCTTATAATGGACCAATATGGGGCTCTGGCTGGAGAGTTCAGTTGTTATGGGACCAGACTAAAAGATTTAGCCATGGCACTAAGGTATTACTGGGAAGAGGCAATGATAACTTCCAAACACCAGCAACTCCCACTCCCCAGATGGCAATGCAGTGTGTGATAGGTCGTCTAAAAAACTACTACTGCCCAATGGTGTGGTGGCAAATAGCCTGTTTAGTGGTCGTTTCCCAGGTAGAGGAGTTTAACTCAACATGAGTCGTTTGGGCACATCCCTGCCAATGCAGGAAATGTGGCAGTATCAGAAACATTGCATTCTTGCAACTGGCCCTATTGTCTTGTCTATTTATTAAATTTAGCCCTTACGTACTGAAACATTCCCTTTAAGTAGCAGATGGGTTGAAAAAAAGTATACATTTTACTAGGTAACTCAAGTTTCACTAACAGTGCACTGGACTGGGCAGTACAATACAATTACCATGAGTAGAAAGACGGCTCCCAGGCCTTGTCCCTGATATCCAGAGGTCTGGAAAGCGGCCATCAGAAGAAAGGTGAGTATGACAATGACGAGAGCATTGATGAGATCCCACGCATAGTTTCCTAGCCAGTAGATGACGGCATTAACACCACTCACAAACTGAAGGTGTTTGGCCTGTGAGGAGAGGGAGCGATGGAGGGAGAAAGAAAAGATCAGATGGGGAGTGAAGGAAGGTTGGATGAAAAGAGAGAATAGTTAGGAGAGGGAGTTTGCATGCATAAGAAGATGAGTGTGAAAAATGTTAACAAAAGCAAGGAGGGTTAAGGCACGATAGGGCTTTAGCTAATACAGTGGTACACCTCCGAACAAGGGACACTATGGGGCCAACTATTTTGTCCCTTGTAGAGAGGTCGTCCCTATCTCGGAGGTCAATTAATACACTACTAAAGTATTAGCATGGGGTTGAAAAAAAGTTTAGTTTTTAGAGAGGTCGGAGGGTCTCTTATCAGAGGTTCAACTGTATATTCTTGTACCTTGCACTCTCTCTCTTGTACTGGGAAGACCACAAAGCTGCTGATGAGGAAGGCAAAGCCAAAGCATCCAAGGACACTCACTGCCAGTCCGTAGAATGCAGAGAAACTGGTTTGATCCTCCTGTGGAAGTGTAGGTGGTCTTGCAATCATTAATAAGTAGGCGAATGCATTGCATTTTTGGCAAGCGGGAGTGAGCACACGATGACTGTATCTGCACAAGCCATCCTAGCCTATGTAAAACTTGCATCTTGGAAGCACAAAGATTGGAAAGAGGGCTTCAGTCAAGCATTGAAGAGCACAGCGAATGCCGCCGAATAGACGAGAGTTCTCTCGCTGGCTACGTATAAAGGAGATCAGGCAGCGTGTAAAATTTTGAAATCGTTTCGGATAAAAAGAAGTGCGTAATCCAAACGCATGCGCAGTTGGACGACGTACGGACATATATAATAATAATTATGCATAGTAAAATCGCCCCGTTCGGACCACTAGGTTAGCTCACTCTGCTCGCCAATAATATAGAATGTTAAAGCTACGAGGTAGAAAGGCAAAGGCACAATAAACAAATCAACTACATCCTTCATGGGTGGGATTCGAACCCACGACACTCTGTAGTCTAGGCATACAGTATAAACCTGCTACAAGTACATACATATAACAAGGATAAACGTGTAGGTCGAAAAACCTTTGCTTGCTCTGTGCGTGGTAAAGGGTGATTGTAGGCAGTGATGGACCACTCTTCCCCCATGACCTGCTTCAGAAACACATTGTGGAAGGCATTGAGTGACGACGCCACCATGTGATATGGCTGGTTGGGAAAGATAACAAACAGTGTAAAAGCTAGCTAAGTGCATTAGCATTGGCATAGGTAGCAAAGTTTTGTTTAGCTTTATTGACTCGCGACTCTGCATACTTGTAGGGAATGTGTCACAGTACATAAGGGCTAAATTTAGAAACTGTTATATACTGAAAGTGTAAACTTGGTTGCATCCTTGCACTGGGCCCTATTGTTTAGTTCAAACTTTAATTAGTAATATTTCTAAATTTCAGCCCTTTTAACCTTAGGCTTAGGCACAGAAGTGAAGTATGTTAGACAGACAGATCTAGTAACGCAGGAAACGTTTAGTTTGATCGTGTTTTTCACTAGCCAAATAGTTGGAATCATCACAAAAACAAAAAAAAAGGCAAGGAAACGAGACTACATTTAAAACATTGCTCTCACCTGATTGTTGTACCATATGGTGACTGTTAGAGTGTCCTCCTGGTCAGGGTACACCTTGGCCACCCCGGCCTGTAATTTACCACACACTGGCTCCTGTATCACATACTGCGTGTCAGACGGCAGACGAGAGTAGTAGTCCCCCGGAAGACTCGTGACGTTCCCGATATCCGGAACCACACTCTCAACACATTCTAGGGCACAGTCACAACCAAACGAGCCTGAAGTGATGTTCTCGTAACAGAGCGTCAGATAGTCATCACAGCTTTGGTTGAAGGTGAAAGCAGATCTGTTGTAGAGAGCGCTCAGAAGAGTAGAGAATGTCAGAGTTTGATTTCCGTCTGCAAGTCGGCAGAAACTGAGTGGCGGTTCTTGGTAGCTCACCACAAAGCCAGCCTGGACGTCTTGGAAGAAGACAGAGGGCTCGAGTTTATCGGCGATTCCGATGAGATACTCTGCCACAAACGTGTTGTCGCTGTCTAGTGGGCCCGAGAGGGACCCGTTGTATGCATCAGACACCGAGAGAAGGGGTGGTGACGGGCAGTAGTTACCGATGTATGCATCGTAAGGGCCGCCTCCTTGACACGCCAGGGCATATGTCTTATGGAGGGTACTGCAACATCTGAGTAGCAGTGACGAATGTTCAGATAAACCACAACGCCACAATTGTTATTTGCAATTATAGCAGGGGCAATTCAAATGTCTTAATTGGTGAGGTTCTTAGCAAGCAATCAACAGCAAAAGAGGGAGTTTGTACGTGCAAAGAGCTTACCCGAGACACTCTGGGCACTGCTTATAGTTGTAGTTCCCTTTACAGCTTTGTTTGAAGTCACTCTGCAAGAATGAAGAGAGGGACAACATCTTAGAGTGGGAAATATGGCCACCATCAATCATAGCTGGCAAGCGCAAACACTTTGATGTGAACATTCATTGTGGCTAAGTACGTACATACATTAGGGAATGTGGCAGTACATGAGGACTAGAAATACTGAACAATAGGGCCCAGTGCAACATGTAGCTAAAGTTTCCGTTTCCAGTATATAAATTTAGCCTTTATATACTGCCACATTCCCTTTAAGAGAGGCTCACCGAAGAGAGTGAAGAACAGAACTTGTCCAGGAGTTGGTAGGAGTAGTCGCAGCAATCCGAGGCCTCTGAAAAGTTCAAGTTACTGACGCCGTCTTTGATGCTCTGGACACGACTGGTATAGTCAAACAGGTTGCTAGCAAGGATCTCTCCCGCAGTAACGTTCTGGAGAGGTTTGTGGGCGAGGAGGAGGAGAAAGGATGAGAATAGGGGAGGTGGGAGAGGAGGAAGAGAGATAAAATGAAAACGGAGGAAAAAAGACAGAAAGATGGCCACTTAACGATTTTACCCACGATACATGTTAGTCGACCGTCCCTGTGTGTGCCTATAGCTTAATGGATAACAAAACCAGAGGTTTTGCGAAGTTTGTTCTGCAAAGCAGCCGCCGGGAGAGAGGTCGCATTAGCGGCCATGCACGGCATGACAGCGGGTGTGCAGTAATGGCACAGTAGGTAGGCAGTATAAGTACACCCAGGCATCACCACCATGCAACGAGTACATACTATACGAAATGGGACAGTAAAGATGGTAACCTACAGTAAAGTTGAAGAGAGGTGGGGGGTCTCCGAACTGGGCCCAGAAGGTGGTGACATTGTGGGAGAGGGCCGAGTGGCGGAGAGTCAGTAGCCGACTTGGTTGATCTTGCAGGGCAGAGTTGGGGATCTTGATGAGGATGAGCGCGAAGAGCATGAAGACCAGCGGGAGGATGAGCTGGGTGATCACGGCCACGTAGAAGCGAAGAGAGTTGTAGAACCTCTTGAGGAACATGGCCAGGAACTGCTGGAGCCAGAGGATGGGGCCGGTGTGCCGGACTACTGGCGCTGCTGGATTAGACCAACAGATATCAGAGTATATTACACACACTTATGCAATATCTACAGGCCTGCATGCAAAAGGAAATTGGTTTGCCTGCACAATGTGAATGCAGGTTGATAACTGCTACTGTTAGCCCAAGAATTAAACAAACGTGTGATCGATCATTGGAGGGTTTGATACCACCCAACATTTTGGTTTTAAGCGTGTTCACATGGTACTTATGGCAATAGGCACATCTTGCATACAGGCATGTTCTTACACAGCACTCAGTGTCCAGCTAATAATATGCATACAAAACATGACATAAAAAAAGGACAGGTTTGATGCCGATGTTTCCATGTGCAAAAAACCTCAATAATATTATAGTAGTGCATACATATAAGGGGTGTGTTGCCAATCACTCCACTCTTGCCTTCAGTCTCATACACCACATCGTTCTCTGCCAGGATCAGAGAAGAGGCTACTCCCCAGGCCTTCTCACCGCCCACACCCTGATCTGCAACAGACAATTCACACACCACAAACAACGTACATGTACATGTAGTTAGACGATTCATAAGACACTACGTAACAGGATGAAATGGTGCTTAAAGGGAGTGTGGCAGTACGTTATAAGGGCTAAATTTAGAATACTAAAAACGGAACTCAATGGCATTCTTTTATTGTGCCGTATTGTTTGTTCTATCTTTAGTAATATTTCTACATTTATCCCTTATATACTGCCACATTCCATTTAACAAATGCTATATAGTAGAACAAATATAGTGCAAATGCTAGTAGAACACACGTTGCAAAAATTATGCATCGATTATGTAAGCCCCACAGAACACACAAATTTTCCTTCGCATTGAAAAACAGAATGATCGATCTCCACGGCTGTATCACGATTACTCCCTTAATATATGCAAAGTGTGATGTGGCATGCACAGTTATTACTACAGGCAGCAAACCAGATGCAGAAGCTGGAGCAGCAGCTTTTGCAGAAGGCTCCTGAGACAACATCCTGCATACGTAGCAACAAAAAAAACGGAAATGTTTTAAGGTTTTCTAAATCCAAAGCAACCTACAGACTGGTAGTGAGTTGGGTGGAGCCAGTGCCAACCTTCATAAATACCTCCTCCATTGTCGTGAGAGACAAGCCAAAACTGGAGAAACCCAAACTGCTTCTTTGTGCTGTATATAGAAACGTGGTATAAAACGTGAGTTATGTTTTGTAGGAACGAAATGGAGGAAGGGAGTTACAAAGACACAAGAGAGGAGGAATAGAGGAGAGGAGGGGGGAGAAAGGAAAAGAGGAGGTAGAGAAAGAAGACGACATTTCTCGAGGGTTCCTAGGAGGTACGTAGGGGAAGAGAGAGCAGATGGGGAGGGGACCACATACTGACAACATACTCTTGATAAAGAGAGGGGGAGAAAAAGGGGGAGAGAGAACTAGGCAGAGGAGGACTGTATATACTTACTCTCGAGTGTGTCCAGGAGGGTGGGGAAGTGTTGGCTGGAGGTGAAGGGAGGAGGAAGGTGAGCTCTGCACTCACGTCTGATGCCAGCTGGGAACCAGGCACGGTGGACTTGATCAGCTCACTCAGTCGATCAGTGTCACATGACTCACCCTTCACCAGGGTCAGGTGGTACCCCACTCCATACCTGCATCACCACACACACAGCCACACTACATACATTAGTGAGCAGTAACATTGTGTATATCTACGTAGTGGCGAGATTTCTTTGCATATATCCAACAGCTTCCAAGCTGTCTACAAGAGTTTGAAACTCATGGGAATGACAAATGTGTGATTGAAGATAGGCAGCCTTACAGTGTTACTGTCTCATTCTAGTTCTGCATTAGTGTGTGTATCATATCAGGAGTGTGGCTATGCATCACATTGAGGTGGATAGTGAGGACCTGCTCTTGAGGAAGAGAGAGGACCCCGAGCACATCAACCTGCCCTCAGCCATGATGGCAATCCTGTCTCCCAGTAGGTCAGCCTCGTCCCTGACAGAATCACCATCTCATGAAATACACAAACACAGCCACCACTGAAGAGGACCTCACATGAAGTGAGTGGTGAGTAGGATGGTCCTGCCCTCCTTGTGCTTGGCCAGCAGGTCCCAAGTAGCTCTCCTGGCATATGGATCCATTCCTGATGTTGGCTCGTCCAGCACCACTGTCTTCGACCCTCCTATCAGGGCTATACCAACACTGCAGGTGCAATACACATATACATATGTCTTTGCAAATGTAAAACCTTTGACATTACAAAGCTCCTATTGGTTATACGTATATGCATGGTCAGATATCCTGACATTAAAATGCCGAAAAAAGCAAGCAACAAGGAACTAGGTCAACGAAAACGTTGGTTGGGAGAATGTAGAACCACAGACCCAGGTCGGCTACACACATGCTGTACCTGAGTTTCCTCTTCATCCCTCCAGAGAGGTTCTTAGCTGCAGTCTTCGTCTTGTCCACGAGCTGAAGGTCCTGCAACATGCTTGCCACCTCACGATCCACTTCCTTTCGAGGCATCCCCTGTAATTGTGATGAAAATGGTTTTGTATTTTCGCATGCATATTACAGTCTCTGACAAACAGCCAGGTTCAATGTATAAGTCCTGGAGTTGCAGCTGGTATGAAGGTTTAGTATAAACAAGTATGCACACCAAACTATAGTCACCTGGAGACAGTGGTTTCGCAACCAGCCACCCCACTCACAAGAAAAGAGATTTCTGGTATGTATCTATTGCACGATTTGTTGCCTCTAATACCGAGAGCAACAACAGACATACAAATCGATCACATAATTCTATTCATGCAAAACAGTATTAGTGACCACGCAAAACGGCCTTAGTATATATACCTTCAGCATTGCAAAGAGCTTCAAGTGTTCCCTGACAGTGAGTCTGTCAAAGAGGACATTGTGCTGGGGACAGATGCCGAGACTGTGTCTGATCTGGTCCATGTTGCTCCGTATGTCATATCCATTGATGACTGCTGTACCTCCCGTCGGTGTGTACAGACCTGGCAACAGCAGAGGGGAAGACATTGAAGCTAGAGTAAATGCAAGGGTCCACATGGAAGCCATCGCTACTGTTCAAGCAACAACGGTACAAGACACACATCCTAGTTATACTATCATCGCTGTGTACACCACATTAGCAGGAGTAACTTTGGACCAATCACTGCATGTGCGACGGAGAACTCTTGGCTTAGTGGTAGGCAACGACTGGGATTGAATATGGAGTTCATGCATTCATGTACAAAACCAAAAGCTGAACATAAGCAGTACACTATTCATTCCCTATTATACTAATACACTGTACATGGTTGAATCACTTGAGCAAGATCGTGATTTGGGAAGTAAGCATCAGAAAAAGTCTACATGCATCCAGTAGAGATTATAAGCAGTAAGTCAAATTTTCGATCGAGCTTAATTCAGCAAACTCTTTCAAGCACAACCGTACCGGTAAGTATGGAGATGGTGGTGGTCTTGCCAGCTCCATTGTGGCCCAGGAGAGCAGTGATCTGACCCTCATACATGTTCAGATTCAGACTGTCCACCGCCAACGTCTTACCACGTCTGCTGAACAATCCCTGCAACACAACAGAGACACAGACAACGTATGTACACATGTGTAGTTATGGTTGGACAGCTGCATAGCCTTCATAATATTACTAGTAGGCGAATGCATGGCATTTTTGGCGAGTGGAAGCGAGCTTACAAATGGGGTCTAATCGTATGAGTCACTCTTGTGTGTGCACAAAACAGTGAGATACATTGCACAGGACCAAGCAGGCCGAAACAACCTTTTAAACCCGAGCGCAGTAGACAATTCGAGTCAAGTCAAAAACAGTCAGATGACAGCGCGAATCAGGCATAATCCGGCAATCTGATTGGTCTTGCAGAATAGGGAACAAGTGGCAAGGCAACAGGCCTTCTCCCGCGCGCGGCATATATAGAAAAATCTTCTCTAGACCGATCCATAACTCTTTCCCTTTCCTCACACGCTCACAAATTATCAGGGGTGGAGCCCAAATTATCAGGGGTGGAGCCTACTGAGGGATGGGCTATGTACCGACGACGTACGGTGACATGCGCAGTTCGGCGACGCTCGACAACGTACGGTGACATGCGCAGTTCGGCGACGCTCGACAACGTACGGTGACATATATAGAAAAATCGCGCCGTTTGGACCACTAGGTTAGCTCACTTCTGCTCGCCAATAACCATGGCATGTGTGTGTGAGGGGGGGTTCTCTCTTACTCCTCTATCTGTGCAATGATACCAGAGTCCCACTGTGTGTATGGGGGTCGAGAATCATTGTTTGTAGAGGAGGTGCCGGCTATGCCACTTGTACTCCGAACCCTAGATTACTATACAGTATCTCTTCACCTGATCGTAGACCTTTGTAAGACCCTTTATCTTGATGCCAGCTTCTCTGTCTGTGGGCTCTTTTTCATGGGCCTGTGCATCATGCCATCCCGAGCTCTCCTCCGCATCTGCTGCTGATGACTGCAGAACACAGGGAATATCTACTTAATACTAGAACACATTTTTGTCGAGCAAAGCGAGCAGTTCAATTTTTCATGTGTGTCTTGTGCAAATTAACGCGTAAAATTACAGTATGTGCAGTCCCGGTTGAACATTACAGACAGATGTATAGAAAAATCCCTCATTCAGACGACTAGGAAGAGACTTGTGGGACTTTGTTTGATACCTTTCTTGCTTTCCCGGTCCAGTACGACGGGAGGAGAGGGAAATAGAGTGGTTTTGGGATGCCATATGTGCCCGGCTTCACAGCATCAATATACCTGCAGTGCAATAACGGAGTCCCAATCTGCTCCCACATCTAGTAAGTTAGTATCTACGTAGGTGAACATGTACCTATTAGACCCAGTAGTACATTTCCTAATAAGGATTGTTCACCAATGTGGGGCCCACTTGAGCATGCACATTCGTCTAATAAAGCTGCCCAGTCACTAATATAGGTGCTTGAGGCAAGTGAGGTTCTACATATACAGTACATGCGTATGTTTATGTGTCCAGCCACTGGTTCACCACTGTCACTGAAAGGGAGTAATGGCTGATCGTACATGCACATACATGAACATACATACCAGGCAAGGAGCAGGTAGAGGACAATATCACAGATCATCATGCCAAAGATTGCCCCCATATTGAGGGGCTCCTCGATGGAGAGGGGTTTGGCTACGTTGTCCCACTGGAGACCCAGTCGGCTCTCCTCCCAGTGAGAGATGACCATGGCTCCCTGGCCAAAGGCAGTGTTGGACAGCAGACTCAGGGCCAACTTCCCCCCACTGTAGAGGACATTCATTATACAGTGAAACCTCTGATTAAAGGAACACCTTGGGAATATTGAAAGTGTCCTTTGATCAGAGGCGTCCTTTACTCCGAGGCAGTATAATACACTAATGTATTAGAATTGGGTAGTGACCCTTTTAAAAGATGTGTTATTTATTCGGAGGGTCCTTTCTCAGAGGTTTCACTGATAAACTGTGTGTGTAAACATTTACAGACTTGTTTCAAACAGTTATAATGACATGACTCTCGGTGTCAGCAAGGGTTACAGCACTTAGTCACACCACTGAACCTGAATCATCGCCCGGTGTGTGACCTAATGCACTCACTAGGGTATCTTGGCGGTGAAGAACGGGATGAAGAGCATTGGAACAAAGCTGATGAAGAAGAGGATGAAGGACACGATGAGACTCACTCTCGGAGAGTTGAACCACACACTGCAGCAACGGAGATGAAAAACCAAACATAACTGAGAATGTGGAGATAGTAACAGAGAGAAATCAAACACCATTCAAAATTCCATACATGCAGGTACACACATACTCTACTTCTTGCACTACACTTGTTTTACCTGACGAGGAATCCAAAGGCTATGATGCTCATGACATAGAGAAGGAAGAATATGAGTAACAGGAAAATGGCGCTCTTTGGCCACACATTAGTGTACTGTGAATGGAAACGAAAAATAACAACTCACGCTTGACTAACATTGTACATACAGAAAGAAGGAAAACATACGATGTAAAGGTTGAAAAAAATGCCCAGCCCTACACTAATCTCTCCTCAGATGCAATGCAAACGCTGATCCCACCAGATGCAATGCAAAAAAATCCTTCAGGTGTATATATGTTATGCATACCAAAAATGTCCGAAAAAGTTAAGGCCAAAATTAAATATAAGGTTGAAAAAAAGCCACCCTACATCTCTCCAGACAGACGTCTATGGACGCAGTGCTATGCCGAACTATACGCTGTCCTTTGAGATGTATGTGGGTCAGTGGTAGATTTGTGGGTAAGGGGAGGAACCAGAGCTGTTCCCAGCCAATGCTCTGGACCACCTGACAGTTTCAGTGCAGGTCCGGGATTCGAACCAGGCACCTTATGTGTCAGTCCCCACGTCTCTAACCACTTAGCCACTTGGGCTGGCCACGAGAGGTGATGAAAAAAGCCTCTTCTTATACCCACACTCACATTACATCATTATAAAAAGAGTCCCAGACCCGGGATCGGAACCACTGACCTCACGATCCAAACTGCGCGTTCTTATCCATCAGACCACACCCAATAGTTGAGAGGGGAAGGCTCAATACTGTATAATTATCTCTTCTAGCAACTGTTCGTGGCCGATACGACACACACACAGGTACTATACTATAACCCTTGCTGTGTGCTGAGTTGCCCTGGTAGGTCAGTTGGTAGAGCGCTCGCCTAGACTGCAGAGTGTCGTCGGTTCGAATCCCACCCAGGGCAGCTCTTCTTTTCTTTGAAAAGAAAGAGTTGTCCTGGGTGTAGTTGACTTGTTTGCCTTGCCTTGCCTTTCTATACGTAACCTCGTTACCAAGTTGTTGAGACATGCATGGAGAGAAGATTAACAATACTACCTCTCTCTCCACTGGCCTACTATTACACCTGTAACCACACACTGACAATGAACGACTTTCAGATTGGTATTATGTAAACATACATTCGGGCAGTAGAGTAACAGACCTTCATAAGGATAGGAAAGGCAAGAACCCAGACAGACATGAAGAGGAGTTGTTTGATAAACCAACTGGCCCACAGCACCCACTGCCTCAGTCCCATCATCAACATTGACTCCCTGATACGAGTCTCCTTCTCTATCACCAGTTCCTGCACATCGTACACAGTGAAAACGTAAACCAGGTAGTAAAAACACTCACGTGTACATATTGAGCATGTACTGATAACAGCAGAGCTATTACAACTCCTCCGCATGAAAACAGGGCACATAATTGAAGATATACACAAGACTTGTTTTAGAATCATCATGCGGCGAAAACAAAACTATTGGAGATGTGGGTCGAAAGTTAGTGTGACTCTGAATTCACAAGCTTAGGGCGGCATCCTCTTTCCTAAGAGTGCCCTCTTGGGTATTTGCATACACCCATGTTAAACCTTTCTGTTTAGAAATTTGCCCCCACCGCACTAATTTTAAGTAAAAACAACTGTATATGCCCTAGAACAAACATAGTATAGTACCTTGACAATCTGAGAGAAAGTGTAGATGAAGGCCAACATGAGCAAGAGGGAGAGGGAGAAACCCAGCCGGGACAGAAACGGGTCTTGTGACGTCGGCGGATAGGGGAATTGCTGCAGTGTAGGGCAGGAGTAACATAGCATTGTGTCAACCTCTGTGGAAATCAGATCTTCCTTTCTTTTCCCATGTCTCAATTACATGCAGTTCCCAGCTATGTATGTACTCCCAAAGGTTAAGGGGGAAAGTAATGGGAAGACCTAACCAATTTGCACCAACCTATTCAACTGGATATGCTGTATATGCTCTCTGTCACCATTATAGTTCCCCTTTTTCTCCTCCTCCCCCTCACTATTTACTCTTTCTTCCTCCCACTTGCCTCTCCCTCCCCGCTCCCTCTCTTCCTCCCTCCCCCCTCCCTCTTTGCTTACTCTCATGGCCAGATCAACATCAACTGTTTCTTGATCTCTCGTGACATGTGCTATAATACTCTCCTCCACTATTCTCTGGAGATTCACAAACCCATACTTCATGTAGGAACTGAAAACAAGGTGTTTGCACAGATATGTAGTACAATGGACAGTATAGTGAATTAAGATCAGAGAGAAATTTGCCAATGCAGCTACTATGCATGTAGGTGTAGGGGCTAGAGCACTACTGTAAAACAGGATCAAATATTGGCTCTCCGTTAAATTTAGCAAATTTGGGGTTTAGAAATAAATGGCTAATGGTCCGCCAAAATTTTTTTCTATGAGAGGTCAAAGTTAACCACAACTTAGAAAAGGCTAATATTAATGGCTGCCAATATGTGGAGTCTGAGTAAAACGCTAAATATAATGGCCGCCGATATTTCAGGCTTTACAGTACACATACATACGACAGGACTAACAGTGACAGTTTGTTGCTAGGGGGCTGGTTGTCCCCCAGCAATAAATCTCTGGAGCTAGCTCTGGGTAAATGTACATATACACAGTCACCTTGAGGTAGAGGCTGAGTCGATGACAAAGCTGTTGGTGAGCTGGTCTGTGGCCCACTCCTGTTCATAAGGGAACCTCAGAGTGTACACTATCCTCTCAGAGTCTACGTCGTCAAACACCACTATACATACATACAGTAAGGAGAGAAAGAGAAAAGAGAAACGCATATGTACATGTATAATATGATCTTGGGAGAGACTGTACTGTTTGTGACTGCAGTGGAGCTTTCGCTAAGTAACAACATTGCGCAAACAACAATTTCCTCGTGATCCATATAGTTGCGCGTAGGTATACATATAGTGAGGAAATACCAAAGGAAAACCGTGGAATATTCACAGAGGGTGTGAAATGAACATAGCAGACACAAGCTGTGCATCATTCACAAAACTGCACATTTAGGCTGAACAAACAGCAAATAGGGGCACACTTTGAGCATAAACATAACTATATGTAGCAAAAAGCAAAAGCAAAAGTACCCAAGATTGCGTGAAACAAAAACCAAACTTAGTATTATTATTTATAGCAAAAATGTGGGTATAAATATTACCTCCAGCTCTGCCATTGGGCTGACAAACACCACTAGGGTTCTGGTCGCTCATGTTCATGAGAGTGTTCACCAGCTGGGTCTCGTTGGCCAGGGCTACCAGGGACCCGTTCAGTTGAGGCCACTTCCTCACAGCCTCCCTCATGATGGCAGTGGCTGTGGTCAGAGATAGAGGGAGGGGGGGAATTTTGATTGGGGGATGTCATGTGTCAACAATAATATTCATAGTTCACACATGACTATACACTCACTATGCATACTACTGAAATATGGCTGACTTGGAGTTGCTTTCTTCAATCGCACACATATGCATGTATGTACATGTATTTTGAGCTGCACGTTGCTTATTACGCAGACCCTCTAGACATCCTAACTCGTTACCCGCCCACTGCTCTAGGTGCATTGTTTATTGGCCTTTTAATGCTATGGTGCCATTGTTGCCACGTGAGTATTATTGGTATAGCACAACATCAGTCCCCCAAAAAAAGATCATCCTTCAGATATCAGCACACTGACTCACTGTTGCTATTGTTGGGAGCATAGTAGATGGTTCCGTAGTCCTCTGGGACTTGGAGATAGTCCGACTCAAACGTAGCCAGGCAAGTGTACACCACATCCACACCAGGTATCTGCCTGTTTGACGACGCAATGTGAAACACAATTGCACTGCCCCAAAACTTTAATGACACCCGAAAGAAAGGTAACAAAACGATTTGAGCTGTAAAACAACCTAAGAAAGACTACATACACGTTTTATATAAATGTAGAGGAAAAGAAGGTGGCAATGTTTCCATGCAATAGCGACCCAAAGTCCACATCTGTAATCCTAGCAGAGTAAATAGCTACTCAGTTGACTTGGGACTGAGATGCAGGGTCAAGTAAAACTATGATGACATAATGCTCTACTCAATCAGACAATGAAAATGTAAGGTTACTCAACTTCCAATCACATGACTGTGGAGGTCACTGGCCCATACTACTGCATGATGACACAACACTCTTCCTGTACAATCCCCCCCCACTGCACATGGGCCTTTGATATTACACTACTACTGTACATGTGTCAGCCCCATGCCAAGATCTTGTGCATAGCTACTGAATGAATTGCCATATATGTAGTTGCTGAGAGGTGAATTCACATATTATGTACTTCTATACATAAAAGATCGGCAGTGTAAAGTAAATGGAAGCTACACTACCTCCCAACCCATCTTAGCTCAGTGCATGGTTACTTCCTTACACATCTACAGTTCACAGCCGTAGACACAGTAGTGTTTGATGTCATACCTTATTCCAACCAGTACCAACAGTGCCAATGCTGGAATAAGCAGCTCAAACACAGTCCCGATTGGACGACGAATCTGCATAAGAAAGTACGCAATGGACACTGCTTTGGGATATCCCTGCTTTTGTTCACCTGGCTACAGCTAGAGCTATCTTACAAGTGTATGGCATTATGGGTCTATAGCAAACCTGGAGAACAAAGTTTTTCCAAAGAAGCAGCCAGAGTTGCCTTAGCAGTAGTGAACACCCCATTCTGCAGGCGCCCTGCTCACCCCAGAGCGCATCAACGACACTGACCACGGACGGGGGACGGGGGTGCGATCGAATGCAGCCTCAACAAAAACAGCCCTCGGCGCACGGCGCATGCGCTTACCGCTAATTGATGGGTTGGGCGAAGAGTCTGCGTTTTCTCGTGTCTCCCCACGCTAGTAGTTCGCGGAGTCTGACACGGACTAGCTACACTAGTAGATAGCATACAGGAGTCCTGGACTTCTTGAGTCTCCAAGGTACACATAGTCACTTAGCCCAACGAGATTATGCACATTGCTTGTTTTCACGGCTTGTTGTCTCGAACGCAGTTTCAGGAAAATCGCCTTATTTTTCAGGCTCGCGTAGTTCTGAAGTCGCTGGTAGGCTGCCTCGTAGATCCGTCGCGCGTTTACGTTTAATTACACATACGTACGTACACGCAGACATAGTCCTCGCTGCGCTGCGCATGAGCGCCGAGGGTTAACCACGCCTTCAAGGGAGGTCCCCGTCTTTCGACCATGACGCACACACGGACTGGGTGCGTTGTTGGTTGCTGTTATTACACAACTCGCCACCGAAAAAGAGAGGCGCAGTAACGTTGTGAAGGCTGCTGCAGTAGCCATGGGCTGCATGCTGCTGATGAGGCAGCTCCTGCTGCTTGTATGGAAGAACTTCTTGCTTCAGGTATCCTTAGCTAGACGATAGTTTCATTGTCCGGGGTAGACGGGAGACTATGACATACCTACTGGCTAGTAGGTAGCCGTATGCGTGTGTGTGTATATGCTGTACAGGGCAAAGTGAATGTAGCTATGATAATGGGTGTCTTTCATTATGCATGAGGCGAAGCCTCCGCCAGCTAAACTTTACAGTCATCCGTGCACTCCCACGGCTTCCGAAGCGGCACCCGCGGAGATACACGTACAGTATTTTGCGTAACTTTTCCGTAGCGAAGGACTTTTAGCACCTAACTGTGTTCGTAGTACATAAACGACGGTACCTGGGGTTTGGGTATATTCAGTACACTTGCCTCAGTAGCGTGTTGCTACCCACTATCTCATGCAGTCAAATCCCCTGTGCATGGGAGTGCGTGTGGCTGTTAGTGTGAGATTTGGGACTACTATACTATCGTTCTCCCTAGGCCTAACCTTTTGCATGACACGGTAGGTTTTCTTGGTTGTATAGGCAAATAAAAATGTATAGATACACATACTCATTTGAAAAACACTTCCTCACGAAACAAACATGCTAACAGTGAAGTTTGAAAGTTTATTGAGTTTGTATCAACAAGAACATGCTACTATTAGAGCTAAGAATGTCCAGTGTTTCTGATAGCGTATTGCAAAGGATGGCATATTTGTAGGGCATAGTGGAACATACTTACTTTTAGTCTTGTTCTCAGAAGGGCAAGATACTTCCGTCTCTCAGTGTGGAGAATTTGAGGTAATCTGGTGAAGAAAGCTATCCATGAACGCACGTGTGTGTGTGTGTCTTATACCCATTATTGTCATATCCATGCTGTTGTATCATTGTTGCTGTATACAGGTCCGTCGTCCGATTGGCACAGTGGTTGAGCTTGTGTTTCCTTTATTTGCCCTCGTTGCCATCTTGGGAATCAGGTCATTACTGCACGTTCACAGTCTACTCTGACTACAATTTATTGGCGGGCAAAGCGAGCCTACCTAGTCGTCTGAATGTGTGAATTTCTACTTTAGTTGTGACGGGCACTGCACATACGTACACCATAATGTTCTAGGTTATTGTAAATACGCGAAAAACACACACGAAAGTAATATTGAACTGCTCGCTTCGCTCACCAAAAATATGTCGCATTCCGGTAGTAGGTATATATGTACGTGTTTTAGTCACTGATTTTGAGTGAGTCTTGTTGGCTTATCTACCAACAGGCGGATTCCTGGTCTAGCAGATTTGATGCGTACGTGTCCAGTGACGTTCCAGTCCACCGAATTTAATTTCCCTCAGGACTATCTGCTCTATGCTCCTCCGAACAACATCAGTTAGTCCACACACTAACATTCGTTTCGTGTGACATTCTAACAAAGTTTTAACGTCAGGATCAGTCCATACAGTAACATTTGTCAGGTGTTATACTGTCGATGCCTTTTGCATTTGTCATAACCTTTTGTACTGCCTAGATTTCCTTGGCACATGCTTATACAATTTCCAGGATTTTGTGTTCTTTTAGTCTGGTCCCATAACAGCCAAACTCTCCAGCCGAAGCCTGTACAGGTCCGTTATAAGGTGATGCTACCGCAAAGGGTGAAGGGCTTAGACAAACCAAAAATATCATCTTGCAACGTTTCGATCCCTGAGATATCGCTCAGATATCCGGACCAAAAAAAAAGATAAACTGGTAGCAGCCCATTTTTGCCAACTAGATCACCACACAAAAGATGTAGAAGTTAGGGGCATAGAGAAGATCCACCAAGGTATATACTCTGCGGAGGAAAGAAAGGGAAAGCCATTGGATTTTCACACTGAGAACTCTGTCTCCTGAGGGGCTGAACCTAGACGAGTAGGCACCCACAGACAGAACACCATCGTGGACAGCCGTAACTGCCTGGTTCAAGACATCTGTCACCTCACAATAAACATGTTAAAATACGTCCACATAATAGGCAGCATCTGCGTGCATTCACATGCCTGAAGAAGATCCCTCAGGGATCGAAACGTTGTAAAATGATATTTTTGGTTTGTCTGCATGCAAAGCCCTTCACCCTTTGCGGTAGCATCAGGACTTTTATATTGTTCCTCTTAGTGTCGTTGAAATGTATTTACACCTTACTTTGCTCTGGTACACATCATTTTAGTGCTATTCTTCTTCACTATCTGCAGCTGATGCAGTCATGGACGAAGTAGCGAATAAGCTAAGTTCTCGGCATAATGTGGTGATTATGCCAGTAGCGTCTCAAGATGTATTTGTCCCTCTCACCCTGGATATGTTTCCAGAGATTGAGGACAGTTACAATTACACTAGATATGGCGCAGGTATGTACATATGCATACATATGTACAAACGCTATATACTGACAATACCAATACTGACACAAAGTTTCATTTTGTGTTTATGGATGCACATTCTATTGAATCAGGACCATTAATCAAGGGGCTAAAGCAACTCCTTGACAAATGCCCATACAGGAACTCTTTGTATAATATAGCTACTTTCCTTCTTTTACAGTTAGACCCTCAGTTATTATAAACACTTGGCTTTGCATACATATAAACTGACTTGTGTTCACAGAAATGACAATTTGGTACAGCATTATCCATGTGTATTATGTGTGTGTGTGTGTGTGTTGTGTGTGTGTGTGTGTGTGTGTGTGTGTGTGTGTGTGTGTGCAGTGTATTTCGACCAACTTGAGGAATCGGGGAAAGATCTCAGCTACACTATCAGGTTCCCTTACGAGATCAGTTGGTTCACAAATTACGTTACTGAGGACTTCACCAGTTTATTCGTAAGAACATTCAGGTATGTATGTAACAACATTATGTGCTTGTCCATATTGGTATGTACTCTTCATCAGTATAATATATACATGTATGTGAGTTTTATAACTACATACATAGGTCAAATGACTAAGTCACCTTGTAAGTACGCTAACCTTGTTTTTCTCTCCCCTCGCATGCAACCCCTCCCTAGTCCGTATGTAGATTCAGGCTTTATGGAACTGCAGAGGGCATTGGAAGAGAGTATTATAGAGTATTATGCAAATCAGACAGACAGAGCAGTGCCGGAGATTGATCTAAAGATGAAGGTATGTACTGGATGTACATCTGTGTGGCTCGCACAATGATGTGGAAAGTATGTACATATATATGAACCTGCGTAACACACCAGACACGTACGTAAGTTTGTTCATAGTGATTTCCAAGTTGTTGGACATGTGGGTGACTGTATGGTTCACAAGAGTTAGAGAGCTTTAGCCACTTTTGGCACAATTACAATTGACATACTCTTGCTGCCTACTTTGCCAAAAGTAACATATGTATGGCTTTATTAACCCTCGGCGCGCATGTACAGCGAGGGTTACAGTACTTGGTGTGTCTGTTTGTCTGTCTGTTACCACGTTTTCTGCCACCACGCACAACAAATAGGTAAAATAGCAATGCCAACAGGTTCAGCGCTACACTGGCTTTATTTTTAAAATGGTGATTTTCGTAAAAGTGCCGCGTTCAGAAGTTACGGCATGAAAACAAAGTGAACAAGCCAATATGCTAATTAGCACAGGCTTACCTCGACCGGGTCCGCTTGTTCTGTGTATCTTGAAGGCACAATAAGTCACAACGAAGGGCGTGTATCGACTCCCGCATGCTATCTACTACTGTAGCTAGCCAGTGTCAGACTCTCCGTGAGCTACTAGCGGGAGACCACGAGTAAACGCATACTATTATAGCCCAGCCCATCAATTAGCGGTACCGCGCATGCGCAGTTCGCCGAGGGTTTGCACTTTAGTGCTTTTCTTAGCCAAAAGTAACGTATATATGGCTTTATTTTGGCTGTTCTTCCGTTACGTTACACTGTTATCCAACAGTATGCTGTATAATCGTTGTAAATCAAACATACATATATATGTAGCTGTTTTTGCAACAAATGACACATGATGAAGGTGTAATGTACATTTTGTGACATGATGCTTGCATTAATGTCCGTCTTTATGCAGCTCTCGTTATGAAATCCTCTGATAGTAAAACTCTAGTTATGGTGCATCATTTTCTCAACAGCAATTGCCATTCCCACCGACTGCATTCAACTTCTTCCTGCAAGTTCTGGACCTTGGTCTGGGTCTGCTTGTCATCATCTCTTTCCTCTATACTGCCGCTACCATCACTAAGGTACGTACGTCATATGAATCGATTGAGGGATTGAGGCAGTCATTTTGTGTTGTATGTTTCAGTTTCCGTCCTTAAACACCGCAGATCTTTTGTATGGAACAAGTATTCATACTGAGTGAGGGCATACTGTGCCTGGCCGTGGTAGCTCAGTTGGTAGAGCGCTCGCCTAGACTGCAGAGTGTCGTGGGTTCGATCCCCATCCAGGGCAACTCTTCTTATTTTCTTTGAAAAGAAAGAGCTGTCGTGGGTGTAGCTGACTTGCTTGCCTTGCCTTGCCTTTCTACCTCGTTACCAAGTTGTTGAGACATTCAGGTGCATTGTCCAGTATGGCAGCAATAATCTTAGACGACCCGCTGGCGTGCGTATAATGTGAAAGGGAGTACAAGTCTATTGGCTATAGACTCTGAAAGAGGATGATACTTTGTTGCAGTGCTAGGTGAATAAGATGACACCTCATGTTGTTGCTTGCAAGTGCTTAATGTGTGTGCCATGCACACATCAATTCAGTTTTGTTAGGAACCGAGATAATGAAAATGAATGAAAGTAGAAAGCAAGCAATACAGAAAATGGGAAACTCAAAATGGTGCAAATGGATGAAACACTGAGACCCAATTTTTGCATGACTATGAGAACAAGGGTACAGTATACTGATTAAAGTGAGATTTCGGTTTATGCAATTGTGAGGGATGTAAAATGGTGGTTAGATCACTTTGGTTCATAGTAGCGAGTGGATCATTGTTGTACGTGTGTGTACATCACTCATGCTTCTTTTTCACTCCCTCGTCCTTCGACTGTGTACACATCTGAGTGCTTTACATTTTCGCTGTGTACTGTTTGTACGATGTGCAGGAACTGGTGATAGAGAAGGAAACTCGTATCAGGGAGTCAATGTTGATGATGGGACTGAGGCAGTGGGTGCTGTGGGCCAGTTGGTTCATCAAACAACTCCTCTTCATGTTTGTCTGGGTCGTTGCCTATACCATTCTCTTCAAGGTGATAATACAGTATACCCTTGTTTATACCCTAGTGTCTTGTTAATTATGGGGGTTGGATGTATTTCTTGGGAGTGAGTGTGCACCAACTGAAGAGGCACATTAGCCCCTAAGAAAATGGTATGTCAAGAATGCTTTGAAAATGAATAGCTAATTTTGGGGTAAGACACCTACACGTAGGTCTCTTAGCGATAAGATACCTGCTGTCTGTAGGTGGCTTACTTCTAACTGAGACCCTCCCGTTTACAGTATGCGCAGACCGGGGCGTCCAGAAGCGACGATCACGAGCTGAGACTGCTCAGACCTCTCCCTGACTCGAACAGTTGCGATGCTGCTAATAACAGTGATTCTCAGTCATCGTCGACGTAGTCTTCGACAGTGCCCAGTGTGGAATTGTGAGGCCTCTGCCCTGCCAGGCTACCGTCGAAAAGTTGAGACGCCGCCACTGATAGTCAGTCCTTACCAGCATCGACGCAACCGTGGATTGCGCCTGGTATCGGCTTGGGAGAACTCTCCTCCGCGGTGCTTTCTTGAAAGAGCTGCTACCAACCAAAGTTGAAGGCGGACGAGCTACAGCTAACGGTACGGCTATCCATTTTCTTAACAAGTAAGATCCGCCTCGAATTACTATTGCGTCATTCCAGCCTCCCACGCGGTCTTTAGAACCACGAAGACACTCGAATCTGCCGTCTTACCTATACTCAGACTCCTTTGTCTGCATACACGTCATGCACGGACATATGCAAACAGATGCTAGGCATGGCTATAAAATTGTTCTTTTCACACAGTATGCAGGAGTCTGGCCAAGGAGTGATGGTTTTCTCATCTTCATCTTCTTTCTTCTCTACATCACATCGATCATCGCATACGGCTTTTTCATCAGGTATAATAATTATATATATGCAAGGCTCAGAGGATACATGTATAATGCTCTATGCTCTATCCTTCGATCATATTTCGTTAGGGCCTGACTTCTACATATAAGGGTGTTTAGGAGTTTTGAGTTTGTGTTTATAAAGTCATGCCTAAGGTATTTTTAGCCCTCGGCGCACATGCGCAGCGAGGGTTACGGTACTTGGTTCGTGAGTGTGTGAGTGTGTCTGTCCGTTCGTCTGTTACCGCGTTTTCTGTCACTATGCACAACCAGACAACGAAATAGCGACACCAGCGGGTTCATCGCTACACTGGCTTCATTTTTAAAAAGGTGATTTTCGTATAACTACTGCGTTCAGAAGTTATGGCTTGAAAGGCAAGTGAACAAGCCAATATGCAAATTTGCACAGGCTCACCTCGACCGGGTCTGCTTGCTCTGTGTACCTTGGAGGCACAAGAAGTCACAACGGAGGGCGTGTATCGACTCTCGCATGCTATCTACTACTGTACCCAGACTCTCCGCGGGCTACCAGCGGGAAACCACGAGTAAACGCATACTAATAGCCCAGCCCAACAATAAGCGGTAGACTATCACGCATGCGCAGCTCGCCGAGGGTTTTGCACTTTATAGTGCTTTTCATTATTGCAGCTCCTTTCACATACAGTGGTTTTAAGGTCGCTTCCCTCACCAACATTCGTTTTAGTATTCATTATTTTTCCTACAGTGTCTGGTTCAGTTCTCCGAGGATAGCCCTGTTCGTTAGCTTTGTGGTGTTCTTCCTGAGCTACATCCCATCTTTCTTCATTACTGGATTTGATCAGCAAATCCCATAGTATGTGTACATGTATCTGTGGACTTTACTGTCTATTCAGATATAGTAGTATATATCTACTACGTACATATATATGCCCATATGCCAATCAGTAGCCCTGTTGTGCCATGCCGCATCACATCACTTTGCGAAATTGATACAATCCTCACCACGTGGCAACAAGTGGCACGTTCGAGCAATATTACCTTGTAGCCTTCTACCATGCTGTATTTAGTATGTAATGAATCTGTGACTCCTTTCATTATAGCTCTCCCTGAACAACTTACAGAGGTAACTGATTCACTGTGATCACATCCTATTATATTATGCGCAGCAATGGGAAACTTGCCCTGGCTCTGTTCTCCAACACGGCCTTTGACCTCAGACTGAGGGTGATATCTATCCTGGAGCAGTCGCAGCTGGGGCTACAGTGGGACAACGTTTCAGAACCTCTGTCCATTGATAACCCTCTCAACATGGGTGCCGTTTTCGGCATGCTGATCTTCGACATTCTCCTCTATATGATCATTGCCTGGTAACTGTATGTAATGTATGTAGGCTATGCTGGTATGCTACTCACTGTACCAACTTGGGAGGTGAATGATGTATAATATGGTAAAATTATTATACACCAAATTTCCAGGCAAGCACTCTATGTACTTTTACCGCCTCGATCCATATAAACGTTATGAAACTATAGAATTAACGTAACACATTATTTGTGAGTAAATGCAAGAGCAACATTCCTGCAGTTTTAGGTTTTAAAAAGTACGTAATAATTATGTGAAAGTGTGTGTGTGTTATATATACATGTGCAGCTCAAAACCGGCAGGTAGGTGTGCTTGCCATTATCACAACATACATATATAGTTATGAGCATAGGTATGAAGAGTTGTATTTTAGGTATGTTGATGCTGTCAAGCCAGGGACATATGGAGTCCCAAAACCGCTCTACTTCCCTTTCCTCCCTTCGTATTGGACTGGGAGACCATTAGAGGTATGAACCAACATACAATACTTGCACATATAAGGACTGTATTGCCCAAATCTTATTCTCACGGGACATGCACAAATCGTACAATGTGTGCTAATGTTAAATGCATGCATTTTGGATAACTAATCTGAGGGTTCAGGGTTTTTCTACTAATCAAAGTTTTAAGCCGAACTTGAGACAAGTTTTAACAGACATAATGAAATACATTTCTCTTCCTTAAAAGACGTGTGGCTAAATTTAGAAATGTTACTAAAGATAAAACTAAACTATAGGGAACTGTACTATAGGGCTCATTGCTATTAGTGTCTTTTTTCAGCAACAGAGTTTCTAAATTTATCCGTCATTGCCGCAGTGTCGGAAGAGGTCAGAAGACGAGGTGGTGGAGAGGCCCCCGTGGTATGATGGTGGTGCTCATGAGGAGGAACCCCGAGACAGGGAGGCCGGGATCAAGATACAGAACCTCACCAAGACTTATACACCAGTCAGTTTATAGTGAAAGTTTTCTCTGCTCCTATAGAAATGTATGGGACCAAATTGAGGCATTTCAGTACTATGTTCCTTGGCGCAAGCCATTTGGTTTACACAACATGGTCAGGTATGTATGTACAAGCAAACTCCACACCTTTAAGCAAACTCCACACTTTTACCAACAGCTCCGTGATTACATGTGCATCAGAATTTACGTTTTTTGTGCTTAGTCACACTCACAATCACGGCTCACCATTTTTAACCCTCGGCGTGCATGCGCAGCGAGGGTTACAGTACTTGGTTTGTCCGTCTGTCTGTCCGTCTGTTACCACGTTTTCTGCCACCACGTGCAACAAACAGGTAAAATAGCGACACCAACGGGTTCAGCGCTACACTGGCTTGATTTAAAAATCGTGATTTTCGTAAAAGTGCCGCCTTCAGAAGTTATGGCGTGAAACCCAAGTGAACAAGCCAATATGCTAATTAGCACTAGCTTACCTCAACCTGATCCGCTTGCTCTGTGTACCTCGGAGGCACAAGAAGTCACAACGAAGGGCATGTATCGACTCCCGCATGCTATCTACTACTGTAGCTAGCCCGTGTCAGACTCTCCGTGAGCTACTAGCGGGAGATCACGCAGACTAATGGGCCTAGCCCATGAATTAGAGGTACCACGCATGCACAGTTCGCCGAGGGGTTGCACTTTAGTGCTTTTCATTATACTAGTAATTCCATTGCACATTGTGCCCCATCTGAATTTGCAGGCAATATTCTCACTGTTGAAAGGAGAAAAGTTGGCAGTGGACAGTCTGAATCTCAACATGTACGAGGGTCAGATCACTGCTCTCCTGGGCCACAATGGAGCTGGCAAGACCACCACCATCTCCATACTCACCGGTACGTATGTTCATGACTTTCCATTGGGATAGAATTCTCATTTAGGATTCAAAGACGTTACAAATTGAGATGAATGATGCACAGTGAAGATTTACGGTGTGTGTTTGTTTGTCTGTCCTCTGACCTTTGTGTTTACACTAGCTTTCCCTTCTGTTGCCAGGTCTATACACACCGACGGGAGGTACAGCAGTCATCAATGGATATGACATACGGAGCAACATGGACCAGATCAGACACAGTCTCGGCATCTGTCCCCAGCACAATGTCCTCTTTGACAGACTCACTGTCCTGGAGCACCTCAAGTTCTTCGCAATACTTAAGGTTAATCATACGTTGTATAAGGGCCACATGAATATACAAGTGTACATTGTGCCATAGCACACAGTGGTTTGCAGTTTGTTTTTATGTTGTATTGTGTTGAAGATTTGAACCCCTGCCAGCTGAGTTGCCCTGGTAGCTCAGTTGGTAGAGTGCGCCTGAATCTCACCCAAACCCAGAGCAGTTCTTCATTTTTCCTTGGAAAAAAGAACTGTCCTGGGTGTACGTAGTTGATTTGTTTGTTGTACCTTTGCCTTTCTACCTCGTTGTTTTCACATGCATGGCTGCAGGCACGGTCAATTCTTTAAGATAATATGTTGAGTCTAATAGCACAGTTATCAGCACAGTTATCAACTTTAAACATGTGTAAGCAGGGGATATCAGCTTTTCTCTCTTCTCTCCCCACAATAGTTGTCATAGACAAATGAAAAATGCAGTGGTTAGGTCTCTGCAGCACCCATTATGCTCATACCATCAGGGAGCCCCCCCAAGGCTTTGACCCCCTTAAGTAAGGCTCAAAAATCAAAATGAAGTAAGAGCAGTGCCCTCTGGGTTCCCTTTTATATCTACACACCCTAAAGCACCAATTTTCCCACTAAATAAATTTTAAAAAGGTTTCTGGGGTGTTGCAGCACGATAACTACAGGTGGACTATGTTTATGCACTAAGACTGGTTCATGTGGAAGAACTTCCTTGCAGGGCATGCAATTTGGAATGATTGAAGGGGAAGTGGAACACATGCTGACAGACCTTGAGTTCCAGGACAAGAGAGACACCATTGCCAACAACCTCTCAGGGGGGATGAAGAGAAAGCTAAGGTATAAACGGTTATGTGTCAATGCTACTCAAATGGATCTCTAGCAGTTTTTAGTGCAAACCTCATTTAAATCGGGAAATCTGATTCGTCCACACGAGGTGCACCGTCCCTTCCCTTGATCTTAACTCCAACAGGAAGCGCTAAATAGGACATTAGCTTCATAAGCTACGTACTCGTTGCCAGATAAACTTCTGTGTTTCATGTTCAGTCTAGAGGAAATAAACTATTTAGTGGTGCTGTCTGGTGAAAGCTAGTGCATTGAACATTCTGCTTCTGTAGTGTGAGCATAGCCCTGATAGGAGGGTCGAAGACAGTGGTGCTGGACGAGCCAACATCAGGAATGGATCCATATGCCAGGAGAGCTACTTGGGACCTGCTGGCCAAGCACAAGGAGGGCAGGACCATCCTACTCACCACTCACTTCATGTGAGGTCTCCCTTCAGTGGTGGCTGTGTGTCTGTGTTTCATGAGATGGTGATTCTGTCAGGGACGAGGCTGACCTACTGGGAGACAGGATTGCCATCATGGCTGAGGGCAGGTTGATGTGCTCGGGGTCCTCTCTCTTCCTCAAGAGCAGGTCCTCACTATCCACCCAATGTGATGCATATATACAAGCTGATTATGATACACACACTACAGCAGTTACACAGTAAAAGGGTGTAAGGCTACCTTCAATCACACATTTGTCATTCCTATGAGTTTCAAACTCTTGTAGACAGCTTGGAAGCTGTTGGATATATGCAAAGAAATCTCGCCACCAGATATACACAATGTTACTGCTCACTAATGTACGTAGTGTGGCTATGTGTGTGGGGAATGCAGGTATGGAGTGGGGTACCACCTGACCCTGGTGAAGGGTAGGTCATGTGACACTGGTCGACTGAGTGAGCTGATCAAGTCCACCGTACCTGGTTCCCAGCTGGCATCAGACGTAAGTGCAGAGCTCACCTTTCTCCTCCCCTTCACCTCCAGCCAACACTTCCCCACCCTCCTGGACACACTCGAGAGTAAGTACAGCAGTCCTCCCCCTTTCTTCCTTACTCTCTTTATTGGACTTTTTTCAAGTACTCTACTTCCTCCTCTGTCTAGTTCTCTCTCGTCTCCCTCCCTTCTTCATTTCTTTTTCAATCCCTTCTCTCCCCAAAGAGTTTTATATAATGTATCTTCACTTACTCTCTTTCACTCTCTTGTCTCTTTCTTCCATCTCCCCTATCTATCATTCTTCTTCCTCGTAGAAACATTAAGGAGTTGCTTTTTCTTCCTCCTGTCTCTTGTCATTTTGCATTCTTCTTCTTTGGCCTCAAAGCTATGGTTTTACTCTCTCCATAACCTTTACTTTACAGTGTCCCCATCATTGCTGAACACCTGCATGTATATACAATCACCAGTTTGTGAGGTTGGTTATGTAACGTTACCACAGATGACCGGGAGAGACTCGGTGTCTCAAGTTACGGTGTGTCACAGACTACAATGGAGGAAGTGTTTCTCAAAGTCGGAAAAGGCTCTACCAATGTCTTGTATGTTCTTGTACGTTTGTACCATCAAATCTTCATTGTTATTTGTATTTGTTACACAGTGATGGCTACCAAAAGTCGAGTGGTATGTCTTGTATTGTTTCAACTGTACAACTAGATACCAGTAGAGGTAAAAATTGGTTCAGTTTCCATCCGTTTTGCTTCTGGTCAATTACCTTCAGTTCTAGCGTGTTGCTGATTCCACTCAGCCCACACCCACTGTGAATGAAAGGGCTACGTAGAAGTGGAGTACTTGAATCAATGATGAGCAGTAACTGCATGTATTGTTGATAGAAGAAATAATTTTCACTTTGCGGCCTTTGCTTCTGGCAATAAAATGACAGCCCCCATACCACATTGAATGGAACGAAATTAGAACACTAAATGAGCAGTGTTTCGGAAGTAAATTGTAGCGAACGAACGAAACACACTCTGGAAACAGTACTTTTACTCCTTTTTGATGTATTAATGCTGGTGTATGTTTTGCGTTTATGTTTGTGTGCGTGTGTAGCTCCACCATCAACAGAGCAACAGGTGCCCCTGTCATCTGGAAATGATTGTATTGAGCTAATTGAGATGACAGGAGAGCAACAGGTGCCCCTGTCATCTGGAAATGATTGTATTGAGCTAATTGAGATGACAGGAGAGGATGGGCCAATTGCTACTACGACCCCAAAATACCGTATGTTGAGTCCTGATGTTTGCTGGAATGTATAACAGTCACACCTACTGCGGGACTGTTTGTGTACACAAGTAAATAAAAAAATCCTGCGGATTAAAAAAAAAGTGCATATAGGGATGGTATAAAAAGAAAGGGAGACAAGATAGGGATGGTGTTTGGGTGTTTGTGGAAACACAGAGATGCTAGCGAGGAGTTAGGACTCCCACAGGTCATTACAACAGCCCTATATTGTCGTACGGTGGGAGTACCTAGCATCATAGATGTATGGAGCTAGGATAGGGAAGGTTTTCAATCTTCTTCGTAGGGTGGGATTGGGAGTGATGAGAGAGTCTGTAGAATATTGCTATAGGTAATGAAGTACTTACTAATTACTTTTGATAGATTTGTCATGCTACATTTCCATGGAGTGCGCATTTAGGTGGAAGTGTAATCAGCTGACCATAACATTGTATATACATGTTTATACATGGAACATGGAAAAATTGTGAAGGAAAAAGGGAAAAAAATGCAAGATTGGCTGATATATTCACGAGGAAGTAGTAAAGCACCGATACGACGATATAGGGCTGTTGTAATGACCTGTGGGAGTCCTAACTCCTCGCTAGCATCTCTGTGCTTCCACAAACACCATCCCTATCTTGTCTCCCTTTCTTTTTATACGATCCCTATATGCACTCTTTTTTTAATCCGCAGGATTTTTTATTTACTTGTCTCCTCTCATTTTTATATGCCTGAGCTCTTATCACAGAGCTTGTTGTCTCTTTGCGCATGCCCATCAACCGCGCCCCATATGCTCGCGTCACGTGGCCACAGCGCCAACCTGAAGTTTCAGTACCTGAAGTTTTTTTGAACAATATGTAGTCGTCATATTAACATGTAGTTGTCGTGGAAATGATGTAATATGCATGCGTACCAAGTTGCATCTCCATGCGTGCTACCTTTAGCGAGTTGTAGAAGTGAAGATTTAAAGTAAAGTGCCTGAGGCTATTTGTTGTTGCTTATAAACAATGTGGTTGTCATGGAAATGATGTTACGCGCTTACGTACCAAGTTTCATCTCCATGTGTGGTACCGTTAGCGAGTTTGAGGAGTGAAGAAGTAAATTTAAAATAAAGTGCCTGAGGCTACTTTGTGTTGTGGTTGTCATGGAAACAGTTTAATACGTATGTGTATCAAGTTTCACCTCCATACATGCTACAGTTAGCAAGTTTGAGGAGTGAAGAAGTAATTATAAAGATAATCGTCTGAGGTCTCTTCAAACCATATGCGGTCGTCATGGAAACATGTAGTTGTCATAGAAATGATATAATAGGCATACGTACCAAGTTTCATCTCTATGCGCCCTACCATTAAATGACGGTTAACGGTAGTAGGTTAACCGAGGTTAACGAACCGGCGGCCCACAGCGCGAGAGCCAGCAGGAGCATGCGCCGGTAGGTGGCGAGCATGCGCTTGGGTGGACCGACCACGTGGTCGTCATTATTGCCAGATACAGCCGTCGGTGCAAGATCGTGCTCTCTTGCTGCTGATTTTTTTTTGTTTCCGTCTCTCCACCCCTTTCCGGGGGTGTGATCAGGACTGGTGGCAGGGCAGGGGTGGAGCCTTAATGAGGCGGCTCCACCTCCAAGAGGGAAATACCCCTAACACGCCCACCTGCCCGACGAGACCCAGTCCTTTGGCCAACATCCCCAATGGGCTCTGCCCATGCTAAGGGATGAATGTGTAGGTGACCTGGGGTGGGACTGGGGGGTATCCTACAAGGTTAGGTGAGTTAAGGAGTTTGAGACGTGAAGAAGTAAATTTAAAGAAAAGTGCCTGAGGCTATTTGTTGTTGTTTATAAATATGTATTGTTGTGTTTTTGATGTTGGGTATTGTATACAAAGTTTCGTTCACATACGTAGCTCTTACAATTAATGTGAATTACACTAACACATGTATGTCCATTATAATGTATTGCCTATTATAATGTATTGCCTGGGGCACATTTTTAGTTGTTTACAGTAAACAACATTGTTTACAAACAAAAAAAGTATGACGTTGCACATGTGGTTATCGATACGCACATTGCTAAAAATTTCATGGCTTTTTCTCTTTTGTTTTTGAGTTACGCTGGTCGAAGAAGAAGAAGAAGAAGATGAAGATGAACAAAACTCCCTATCATAGCCCCATACATCTATGATGCTAGGTACCATGTCAATCCCTATATACTAAGTACTACCGTACTTAGTGATATCTGGCAATGTAACACGTACCGTAATTTTGCACAACATGCTGCATACTTATTGTTTACCCACCCACATTTAATAGCCAGTGAGGCTCGTTTCTTTTCAGGGACAGTACATTCCTATTAACAAATCCTGCCAAATTTTAAAAAATGAGGAATACTGGGATATGGTATAGAAGGGAGACTACACACTATGTTTCACCCCGAGATGTAGACATAACAAAGTTCACAAATATCATACAGCACATCCATGCATTAGGATTTTTTTCACACACACACACATACGCACAGAGCGTAACACTGGCGTGGTCCTCTGGCTCCAGCAGTTCCTGGCCATGTTCCTCAAGAGGTACTACAACTCTCTTCGCTACTACGTGGCCGTGGGCACCCAGCTCATCCTCCCGCTGGT